TCTGTCCTACTACTGTCTCTGTCCTACTACTATGTCTGTCCTACTACTATGTCTGTCCTACTACTATCTCTGTCCTACTACTGTCTCTGTCCTACTACTATGTCTGTCCTACTACTATCTTTGTCCTACTACTATCTCTGTCCTACTACTATCTCTGTCCTACTACTATCTCTGTCCTACTACTGTCTCTGTCCTACTACTATCTCTGTCCTGCTATGTCTGTGTCTGTCCTACTACTATATCTGTTCTACTACTATCTCTGTCCTACTACTGTCTCTGTCCTACTACTATCTCTGTCCTACTACTGTCTCTGTCCTACTACTATCTCTGTCCTACTATTATCTCTGTCCTACTACTATCTCTGTCCTACTACTGTCTCTGTCCTACTACTATCTCTGTCCTGCTATGTCTGTGTCTGTCCTACTACTATATCTGTTCTACTACTATCTCTGTCCTACTACTATGTCTGTCCTACTACTATCTCTGTCCTACTACTATCTCTGTCCTACTACTATCTCTGTCCTACTACTATATCTGTCCTACTACTATCTCTGTCCTACTACTATCTCTGTCCTACTACTATCTCTGACCTACTACTATCTCTGACCTACTACTATCTCTGTCCTACTACTATCTCTGTCCTACTACTATCTCTGACCTACTACTATCTCTGTCCTCCTACTATCTCTGTCCTACTACTATCTCTGTCCTACTACTATCTCTGACCTACTACTATCTCTGTCCTACTACTATCTCTGTCCTACTACTATCTCTGTCCTACTACTATCTCTGTCCTACTACTATCTCTGTCCTACTACTATCTCTGTCCTACCACTATGTCTGTCCTACTACTATCTCTGTCCTACTACTATCTCTGTCCTACTACTATGTCTGTCCTACTATCTCTGTCCTACTACTATCTCTGTCCTACTACTATCTCTTTCCTACTACTATCTCTGTCCTACTATCTCTGTCCTACTACTATCTCTGTCCTACTACTGTCTCTGTCCTGCTATCTCTGTCCTACTACTATCTCTGTCCTACTACTATCTCTGTCCTGCTATCTCTGTCCTACTACTGTCTCTGTCCTACTACTATCTCTGTCCTACTACTATCTCTGTCCTACTACTATCTCTGTCCTACTACTGTCTCTGTCCTACTACTATCTCTGTCCTGCTATGTCTGTGTCTGTCCTACTACTATATCTGTTCTACTACTATCTCTGTCCTACTACTATCTCTGTCCTACTACTATCTCTGTCCTGCTATCTCTGTCCTACTACTGTCTCTGTCCTACTACTATCTCTGTCCTACTACTATCTCTGTCCTACTACTATCTCTGTCCTACTACTGTCTCTGTCCTACTACTATCTCTGTCCTGCTATGTCTGTGTCTGTCCTACTACTATATCTGTTCTACTACTATCTCTGTCCTACTACTATCTCTGTCCTACTACTATCTCTGTCCTACCATTATCTCTGTCCTACCACTATGTCTGTCCTACTACTGTCTCTGTCCTACTACTATATCTGTTCTACTACTATATCTGTCCTACTACTGTCTCTGTCCTACTACTGTCTCTGTCCTACTACTATATCTGTTCTACTACTGTCTCTGTCCTACTACTGTCTCTGTCCTACTACTGTCTCTGTCCTACTACTGTCTCTGTCCTACTACTGTCTCTGTCCTACCACTATGTCTGTCCTACTACTGTCTCTGTCCTACTACTATATCTGTTCTACTACTATCTCTGTCCTACTACTATCTCTGTCCTACTACTATCTCTGTCCTACCATTATCTCTGTCCTACTACTATCTCTGTCCTACTACTATCTCTGACCTACTACTATCTCTGTCCTACTACTATATCTGTCCTGCTATCTCTGTCCTACTACTATCACTGACCTGATGCTACATCACCTGCTGGAGTGAATGTTGCTGCTATCTCTGTCCTACTACTATCTCTGTCCTACTACTATCTCTGTCCTACTACTATCTCTGTCCTACTACTGTCTCTGTCCTACTACGGTCTCTGTCCTACTACTGTCTCTGTCCTAAAACTATCTCTGTCCTACTACTGTCTCTGTCCTACTACTATCTATGTCCTACTACTATCTCTTTCCTACTACTGTCTCTGTCCTACTACTGTCTCTGTCCTACTACTGTCTCTGTCCTACTACTATCTCTGTCCTACTACTGTCTCTGTCCTACTACGGTCTCTGTCCTACTACTGTCTCTGTCCTAAAACTATCTCTGTCCTACTACTGTCTCTGTCCTACTACTATCTATGTCCTACTACTATCTCTTTCCTACTACTGTCTCTGTCCTACTACTGTCTCTGTCCTACTACTGTCTCTGTCCTACTACTATATCTGTCCTACTACTATCTCTGTCCTACTACTGTCTCTGTCCTACTACTGTCTCTGTCCTACTGCTATCTCTGTCCTACTGCTATCTCTGTCCTACTACTATCTCTGTCCTACTACTATCTCTGTCCTACTACTGTCTCTGTCCTACTACTATCTATGTCCTACTACTATCTCTTTCCTACAACTATCACTGACCTGATGCTACATCACCTGCCTGACTCACCACTATCTCTGTCCTGTACTGCCTCTGTAGTCTACTGGATAGATCATCTGCCCAGAGAGAATAAGGTCTGTTGTTCAATAGACTGGCTGTGTTGGACTAAAATATATTAAAAGATGGCACTTGTTGTTGCCAAGCCTCCCTTCCTCACTCACTCACTCACTCACTCACTCACTCACTCACTCACTCACTCACCCTGTCCTGATGCTACATCACCTGCTTAACATCTGATTTGGCAGATGTATAACACATCATCTCATTATCAATTGTCCTAAAATTAGTGTCTAGGTTTGACCCATTTTTCAAGTAAACAACGTCCTTCCAGTTGAAGTGTCACCGTGGAGACAGATAGTAATCCCAGTAATTTGTATGAAATCACCTGCTGTCCCCCATTGTAAACTCCTTAGTCTTGGTGTCACTGTCAACAGAAGATAACAATGAACACTTGACTAACCTGATCTGTTAGTCTTGGCGGTGCCCAGATGTAAGATGACATAACCACCTCATATCCTATGATCCTGAACACTTCTTTAGAAGACATATGTTGGCATATAGGATGATCACAATGTCTCTCAGTTATGTGGTACACTCAGTCTTGTCTCCAATTACCAAGATGACTTGGAAACAGCAATATCTTTGGCATGTAGTCACAGCCTGCGAAGATGCACACAGTTCACTCATCGTTGATGCTTGTAATGTACTGGCTTCCAGCTCCCAGTCACAAGGGAATCCGCTTGTCTTCTACATGGTAAACACAGTCCCATTGTCTGCCCCAGATGAGAGAAAATACATTACTAACACCCCTGGGTATAAACCTGGTCTCATCTTCAAGGCCACCTAGCCAGGTCCTACCTGCAAGACTCAATCATCGGATCTCTGACGCATAGTAAACTCCTACTCAAGGGCTCCCAGTCATTACAGTCAGGTCACACACACCGACTAACAGACTAAATGTTATGAGGCAGTATCCTGGTTTATGTCCGGACTTCATGTCTTGTTCAGTTTGTTTTTGCCTAGTCGTCAAAGGCGCCCCATTTTGCTGTACAGAATACTGTCCCCTGAACACGCCAGAAAATGATGATCATGGGTTCAAATCCTGGTTTGCCCCGATTCTGTCTCTAGGCTTGTCTATACCATACCCATGCCTGTGGGTTTTACCAAAGTGGAAATGTCTGAGACCTACATCACTGCATCAGTGAGTGAGTCTGGTTTTACGCCACTTTTAGCAATATTCCAGCAATATCATGGCGGGGGACACCAGAAATGGGCTTCACACATTGTACCCATGTTGGTAATCGGACCCGGGACTTTGGCGTGATGAGCGAATGCTTTAACCACTAGGCTACCAGGCATTCTACCCTGACCACATGGATCGTTGCTCATAATATCAATCACTGGATTGTCTTGTCCAGAATTGATTATTTACAGGCTGTCGTCAAATAGCTGGAATATTGCTGAGTACAGCTCTAAACAACAAGCAAAGAGTCAGAGAGCATCTGAAACGTAGAAACATGACATAAGTTTAAACACGTAAGTAAACAGTTCTGGTGTTTCTAAAATTTATGATGCAATGGGGATATCATAATACATACTTAACAGACTTTGGCGTAGAATCCTTAGACTAACATATAGCTCCCAAAATAAAGTTATGTTTAAGATTATTAGAACACTTTTTTCAGGAACCGGAAGGCTCTTAATTTCAGGGTTGAGCTGAAGGGGTGAGGAGGATGGGTGAGGAGGATGGGATGCTGGAACTGAGAAGGGGATGGGGATGGGGATGGGGATGAGAAATGGATTGTGTCATATGTTTAGTAAAAATCCTTAGTAGAAGGGCTACAGGTAACAGTGTTTTTAAGTGTCATTTTAGAAGCTCTATAGTATCAACAATGACAGAGGTGAATAGAGGATTTCACCTTCTTTATGCTTTCAGTGCAAAGTTTGGTACATGTGCTAGCTTGTTAAAGGTATTATTGCTTCTGTACCTGAACATTGCAAATAAAAAAGTTGAATTCTATCTCTGTCCTCATTACAAACTAGAACCATCGGCCTATCATCATATTTAACGTATTCTTAGGTCTGGGGTATTTCACATGTAACAAAGAAATGCCACCGTTATCAAAGAATATGTAGACAGAATCCGGGAATACTGAGCCACTGCAGCTAGCTGGTACGTTGTCAGCTCACTAATAGTCATATACAAAACAGCACCACAGCCATCAGCGTCCTGATGTAATAGTATTAGTACAACGAGAGTAATGTGCATCCTCCTCCAGGCATTACATAACCCAATCCCTCTCATGTGAACACCACCGTTTGTCATAACAGCATCACTACTACTACAACAACTGCATAGTAAATCTGTTTTTGTCCTCCCATTCACAGACAATGATGGGACCTGGACCGCTCCCCGATTGGCCAGACGGAGTTGATTGAGGTCTGACTGACAGTCAGAGACTCCAGCACATTGTGGTGGGCTGCCCGCACGACAGGAGCCCTCCGACAGCACGCTTTCTCTCTCTCCTCCCTCGCCCCTGAGGCAGATTAACACAAGCTGATGATGAGCCTAACAGTGTGAAGGATACAGGATACTGCTACAGGCTTCTACGCTTATGCTGTCTGTGTAGCACCTGACGACGGAGCACATCGGAGTAGCTTGGAGTACACGCTGGATATACTTGGTCAGGTGTCTTTGATTATTGGACTACCTGGTTTGATAACGAGGATTTGTATTTGCTTCAGGTATGTACAAAGTTTGCTTAAATACATACGAAGTGCATGAGGTTCTGAGAAGCAGATCTAACAATAATTGGTTATTGATTATAGATCATTGGATTCATGATTATTTTGATGGCGGTTGTAAAAAGTTTCATTTTATTAGGGAGTATTATAGACTTTTCAAGATGGTCGTACAAGATACTGGTGATGTTATTTTGTCAGCCGTGGTCAATTGACCATTGGAAATAAGGATTCTTCTGACTTTAAAATTCCTTTTGCTTAATGTGATTATTCTTTTGAAGAGAATTGTGAACTTGATATCGTTTTTCCTATGACAAACCAAGCGACACATCCTGAGTTAATGAGTGCAGAGGTAGGGAGAATGTTCCAGTTTGAAGCCTTGTCAAAGTACTTATTAAGATGAAGTTTCAGATAAGCGAGTACTGGGGTGGGTAAGTTTAGTACATGACTTGTATAAATTGTTAATCAACTTTTGTAATATTGGGTTACGAAGGACAGTTCATTAGCACTAGGTATGACGACATCTTTTGTCAAAGGCCCGAGTGTACTCCGACATGAGTACACTGGATGCCTCTAATGGCACAGTTGGCCCTCTTTTCCTAATTTATAAGGCATTGTCACAGCATTGAGTTGAGGACGTGCAGTTAATTACAACACAGTTGACTAATCAATGTTGTGTAGAAAGTGAGAGACGCACATTGCTGGTCGGGGTATGTGCAATTAGCGATGTTTGTCTAATCAATTCATGGATTAGAAACTGCAGTTCCATATACATGGATGTTTGGATCGAGGGGTTTCAGCTTCATGTTGTTCTAGCTTTACCAGGAGATGTGTCCAAGATACATGCAAGGAGCAGAAATGTAATTGTTTATGACACCTATAGAAGATGGGTCTATGGGTGATACAATAAATGTGGAATGGTTGTCTAAGTGATGTACAATAGATGTGGACTAGTGGTCTAAGTGGCATACAATACATGTGGAATGCAGCTATAGTGGTCTAAGTGATGTACAATAAATGTGGAATGGTTGTCTTAGTGATGTACAATAGATGTGGAATGCAGCTATAGTGGTCTAAATGATGCACAATAAATGTGGAATAGTGGTCTAAGTGGTGTACAATAAATGTTGAATAGTGGTCTAAGTGATGTAAAAAATGTGGAAGAGGGGTCTAAGTGGTGTAAAATACATGTTGAAGGGGTTCAAGTGGTTGACAATAAATGTGGAATAGTGGTCTAAGTGGAATGCAATATGTCTGAAATTGGCTTTGTTAGGTTATAAATATATTACATTGGTTAAATTTAATCCACAAATATGTTGATGCTTTAAAAGAGCTGATCTGACCTATAATGTTGAAAATATTATGCTTATCATGATTGATCTCTCCAAATCGAAAAAAGTTTCAGAGCATTTGATTACATAAAGCTGACAAAAGAACTTCACCCAAATGACAATTTGGATTCATATTGAAATTAATAAGAAAGACATCAATTAAAAGTGTCAGATAATGCGAGGCATTCAGGATGAACACATCAAGCCAAATTATAGACATTTGTTTTAATGGTTTTGACTAATAGCCATTTTCCCCTATCTCATCAACCCTTGCACACTTCCACACGATGGCATTCAGGATAAAATTGTCAGTGTGTCTAAACGCAGGGATAAAAAGTCTGGCAAGTAAACTACCAGCTTTATCAGTAATTACTTGTGTTCTTCTTGTTAAGGGGATGTGTCGTACCATCAGCAGAAACTGTTACAGGACAATTAATGATGAATAGACGAGTGTTGTAATCCCTGCAACGAGTATTTGTTTCTTGATGAAGCTGTCTGATTATTGGATGCGAGTGTCTTATCTTCATCTTGTCTTCAAAAAGCGATGAAGACTTTGACCTGGAACCTTTGTCAGATTTTCCCATATCAATAATAGAGGGACGGAAAGGCTAATGTTACAGTGTGGGTAATTGGTGGTAGTTCGTTCTATTTCATTCGTTGTTAGTGGTGCTAGTTGTTGAACTGTGATCATGGATATTTTATTGTCTTTGAAGGGAATGTACAACCTGGAATAATCTTCTTGAACTAATTTAAACTTGTTTTTGTTTACTATGCATTTGTTCATTGATATTATATTGATGGATGGATGCAGAATGGTCATGTGTTTAACAACAGACACCTTATGTATATCTACATTGAATGAAGGTTTGTCTGAAGGCCATGTGATAGAAAACAGCCTCGCTGCCTCAAGCCCACACATTCTTAAAACTGCGGGTCAATTGAATTGTATGTGATGGTTCACATTATACCAATTGAAAGTAGAGAGTGATGGTGGCATTTCAAAAATATGTTGTGTAATCAATATGGTAGAAACAGCAGTAATATTTCAATGGTATTGAATGTACTCTCATGCACGACTATATTTACCGTCTACATTGGAAAATTAAATACTGACAACAAGTTCTTGTGATAGATAACACTGTTTCACCAACACTGAAAAAGAAACTCAATAGATTCCGTAAATTGGAAAAAATGTGATCTCATTTTAAAGTTCTTGTTACAACCAACAACTAAATTTTAATGATTTTTTCCGAATGTTGAACTCCTCGTCAACTGATTTTGATCCTTAAAGAAACAATGCTGTTAAACTGTTTAACACATTCCTTTCAAGTTGTAGGATTTTCAGGAAATTCTTTAATTTCCAGCCTTGGTGTGACATTTGGCTTTCAGTTTACAGTTTGACTGCATTAAATGTGGTTCCGCTTGACTGATCAGCTCACTCCTTAAGTGCTGCTTGTTGTGATAGATAAGTAACGTACATACCCATTCTGTCACGCTCACCATCAACAGTCAACTTTTTCTTCGCAAGTTCATCAAGTTTAGTTTGTATAGTAACCCAACTCAACACTGAATGCTTCAGCGTGATCAGCTACTCGGTATTGGCTTGTAATCCATAGCAGAGGAATGTTGCTGGTCTGCATAGCAGGAGATATGGCATGGAATAGATCCCAACGTTGATGGCTGACTGAAAAACAAAGGCCCAAACTGCATGGATAAGTTGTACATACATGTACATGATAAGTATGGCTCAACAAGTAGATACTGGTTGTATTGATCATCTACTTAGAATGGCCCAACCAGTATACATGGGTGAGCAGAGGTCCTTTATGTGCGTGCACATGCTTAGAATGGCCCATCTGAGATATGGCCCCAATATCATGCATACATGCCACGATTTAAGTGCCTGAGTATACAGGCTCCACCCTATATTGGCTCTTATATAACATCATGCATACATGGCAGGATTTGAGTGCCTGAGTCGACACGCACCACCCTATATTGTCTCTTATATAACATCATGCATACATGGCAGGATTTGAGTGCCTGAGTGTACAGGCTCCACCCTATATTGGCTCTACATCATGCATACATGGCAGGATTTGAGTGCCTGAGTATACAGGCTCCACCCTATATTGTCTCTTATATAATATCATGCATACATGGCAGGATTTGAGTGCCTGAGTGTACACGCACCACCCTATATTGTCTCTTATATAACATCATGCATACATGGCAGATTTGAGTGCCTGAGTGTACAGGCTCCACCCTATATTGGCTCTATATCATGCATACATGGCAGGATTTGAGTGCCTGAGTATACAGGCTCCACCCTATATTGTCTCTTATATAATATCATGCATACATGGCAGGATTTAAGTGCCTGAGTATACAGGCTCCACCCTATATTCGCTCTTATATAACATCATGCATACATGCCAGGATTATACACCAGGAGTTGCTCTTGGTATTCTTTATTCCATCAAGAGTTTGGTACAGCACACTGGTTGTGTCTGTAGACATTGGTTGACTTAGATTTACTTACATCAGAGTACTTAAAAAGCATTTCCTTACATTGGTCTAAGTTTGTCTGTGCATGAATCCTGTAGACATGGTTCTGCTCCTGTACATGGGTAAGACTTCAAGCCATGTACCACAGTGGTGGCAGGGGATTTCCTCATCACCTGAAGGCTCCCCAGGCATTGATTAATTGATTAAGTGGTTTCTTTCAGTCAGCGTATGCCTTCATGCCACGGCCTTGTCTTCAGAAGATGCACAGCAATTCTGGATCCAGAGAAATGCAGTGTAACATAAATAGTACTCTGTAGTTGATAAATAGATCAGTGCTTTGATGTTATACTGCTGGCAAATTGTTTCTGTTTATGGAACGACGTGTGGCCTCTGTGATATAGGTTTTCTATTGCATCCCTTTAAGCAGTGGAATTAGTTCCTGGGATGACACCCATACCATATCTCGCCACTCCTGAATCTCATATATTGGCTGTCTCTTTCTCCTTCCGTATCCCACCTAGGGTTGCCCCAGCTGCTGAAGCCAGAGGAGTCTAAGAGACATCCATTGGTGTGACTTATTTACCCTGTCTCTGCCCGACTTGCTAGATTCCAGTCAACTTCATTGTAACCTCAAGCTTACATCAGTGTTTTCCTATTTTGATAACCAATGACTTTAATTACCTCTGTGGTGAGATTATTGCACCCATTGTTAGCTCACCTGAACTTAGATGTTCATTTTTAGCTCACCTGAAAGGATGTTTATTTATTGTTGTAGAGTGTATGTTGCCTGTTGTATGTCCTCTCACACAACATGGCCTATGACACTGGAACCACTTGCATAGATTATTCCATCATGATGGTTGCCACTCTAAAGTGTTCTTTTTCTCAGATAGTTTCTTTCTTTTTCACACACATTCAGAATGTGTTGTGCAAGATTACACATTAGTGAGTGAGTGAGTGAGTGTGGTTTTACGCCGCTTTTAGCAATATTCCAGCAATATCACGGCGGGGGACACCTGAAATGGGCTTCACACATTGTACCCATGTCGGGAATCGAACCCGGGTCTTCGGCGTGACGAGCGAAAGCTTTAACCACTAGGCTACCCGACCGCCCCGATTACACATTAAGTTTTGTAACTGACTTTATGACTTGACTCATGCATT